GGGCCCCGCTTGGCCCTGTCCACCCCCAGCTGCTGCTGGCGGGGGTGGAGGGCCGTCGTGGGTTAGGGTGCTCTGGCAGGTCCTCCCCGCGGGGCCCGTCCACTGGCCAGCTGGCCCAGCACTTGGGCCCCCTCCGGCCGCCCTCGGCCAGGTGAGCGGGGCAGCCCTGGTCACGCTGGCCTGATACCCCGTAGCATCCACGGGCCTCAAAGGGCCACCCCAGGGGAGGCCCCAGCAGGGAAGCTGCGCTGTCCACCCGTCTGCTGGACCTTCAGGCACAAGGCGGCCTCCTGTTCACACCCCCGTACCCCCGGGGAGAGGGACCGTGGGGCTGGGGCTCCCCATGGGCCTTGTCTTCCCGCGGCCCTGGCCCTAACCAGGCAGACACACGGTCCTGCGCTGAGGCCAGGAGACCAGCGGGCTGCCCTGACCCCAGGGCCTCCTGCTGCTCCTGCTCAGCCTGGCCGGGGGTCCCCAGCGCTGAGCCTCGGAAGCTGCACCTGGCACTTTCCTTCAGCCACAGACCTGCCCCCCGCGGCCCCACACGCGTGCGGGGCGGCAGCTGCACCCTGGCCCCGGCAGGGCTGGCCAGGGTGACTAGGGAGGGTCAGGCAGGGTCCTTGGCCGACCTAAACCAGGGGGCCCCGCCCTGGCCTGCAGCCCAGCCCCGCCCCTCCCTAGGTCTCCAGCACCCGGGTGGCCGCCTCTGTCCCGGGGTCACAGCAGCTCTGGGGGCGGGACCGGCCCTCCGCGCTCCGCAGTCTCTGCCCTGCTGCCCTGGGGGCCTGACCTGGCTCTGCCCAGGGCATGGCGGCCGCGCTCCGTCGCCCCGCCCGCCGGTCTGGGGGCTCTGCCCTGGGGGACACTGCCGGGCCTGGAGACGCCCTGTGCAGCCCACGCCCACGGGGATGCCGACGGCCGGGGGGCTCCGCTCGCCGGGTGGCCCTTGGGGGACGGCCTGGCAGGGGTGGGGCCGGGGGCTGCGTCCCTCCCACCCGGCACCCCAAGGCCCTGCCCCAGTTCCTTGGCCCTTTGCTGGCCCCCGACCCCCTGGGCGGGCCCTGCCAGATGTGGCCACCCCACGGGGACCACAGCCCTCCCCACGCTGCCCGCCCTGGGTCCTGCCCGGGGGCTGCGGGTGCGGGCAGGTGCAGCGGGCATGGCGGGGCGCCAGGCGGCCTGACGCGGGCATCGGCGTGGGCACGGCGTCTCCCCAGCCCGGTGCCCGAACCCCGGGAGGGCTGGCAGCGAGCCCCGGCTGGAAACCGAAAATAAAAGGCCAGGACTCGGGTGGGGAGCGCCTGGCCGGTGGGCCCCCAACAGCCCCGGCCGGGCCGGGGGCAGCAGGGGCCGGAGCGCCAGTGAGCACCCCAGCTTAGGAGCCCCGGGCACGGGGAGGGGCTGGGCCGCCCTGCTTCTGGGACGCCCCCACCCCCGCCTCCAGCCACACCCCGTTGGCTCCCGGGGTGGAAAGGGCGCCCAGGCAGCGGCCCTCTACTGGGTCGGGCCCCCCAGCAGGTGCAGAGACGCCCCAGGGCGCTGGCACAGCTGGCTCCGGCCGGGTTTGCTCTGGCCCCTCCCGCCCCCCGCGCACCAGCGGGGTCAGGCACACCCAGGCGGCCGAGACGGGAGGCAGGCGGGCACAGAGGCCCCAGCCGGGCCAGGCTCCCCGCAAACCTCCAGGGGATCCTTGCGCCCCAGATGCAGAGACCGGCTGGGCGGCTGCGGGCGTCAAGGCCCCGATACAGGGCGTCTGGGTGCCCCTGGCCCGGGCAGGCTGCCCAGCAGGGCCCTCCCTGCCCACAGGGGCTGGCACCACGGGCGCCGGCTGGCCGGGGAGGA